CAGACAGGGGTCAGGGGGGTTTTGGGACCCCTCCAGCCCCACTCCAACATCCCACTCCTGCTACCTGAAGTTCAGCTGGCCCATGGCTGAGGGGCTGAACAAGACAGCAGGGTCCAAAGAAGAGGCCATGGGCCTGAAGTGCACGCCCAGGGGCTGGGGTGGGCTGCCCACGGTGGGGGAGCCAGGCTGGAAAGGGCTTGGAGGTGCAAACCCTGCTGTCTGAGAAGGAGAGAGGGGATAAAGGGTGTGAGCCTTCCCCTCTGAGCATGCCAGAGAGGTCAGCCAGCTCTGTGCTGGCTTCTGGCTCCCATTCCTCTGGCAAAGTGCTACAGTGCCACTGTCCCCATCCCCTGCCACACCAGGGCCACCTCAGTGGGGCCGTGGCAGTGGCTCAGAGCCCACCACGTTACCTGGCTGGGACTGAAGAGTGCAGGGGGTCTGCAGGCAGGTGGGAAGGGCTGAGGAGAGCACGGGGAGCGAGGAGACATCATGGGTGCCTGGTGCAGAGCAGGAGGCAGGAGGTGTCAGACAAGCCTGTCCTCGAGGCTGCACCTCCAAGGAGGGGAGGCAGAGAAAGAGGGGATGCAAAAGCACTCCCAAACCTGTTACCTGCTGGAGAAAGCACTGGGAGAAAGGCCTGGGGGACATCAGTCTTAAGTCAGGGCACTTGAGCCGGGAAGAGCCCCCGTAGCCCCTCTGCACAGGAGAGCCAAGGAAGTCGAGAGCCATGTTGGGAGATGGTGGAGGTCTCTCCAGCACCTGGAGGATGGCTTTATCCTGTGGGAGGAGGCAGCAGCAGGTGGGAACAAGGCACAGCTGGGAACAGTTTAGCTCCCTCAGCAATAGTTAGCTCACTAAAACCTGTGGTCACTGCTCAAGCAAGAGCAGCTGTGCTCCCATCCTCATAGAGTGGAGCAGTTGGAGACCCATGGGAACACCCAGCATGGGGGTCCCAGTCCCCCCAATCTCAACAACTTTACCTTCAAACCCAGGCTCTGCTTTGGGTGGGCACTCACAGCCTTGCACCCAAGACATCTCTGTCTACCTCCAGAGCCATTTGGAGATGCCCCAGGTGTCCCAAATTCCCTGTGAGACCCTTGTTCCAGAGTAGGGGGGAGCCCTTAGCTCCAGCATGTACCCACCTCCAGCATGAGGTGGCGAGGGACACTGCCAGGGCAGGAGCCCCACGTGGGATCCATCGCCTCCTGGAAAACAGGGAGAGGCTGGCATGAGCCAAGTGAACAGGAGGAGAGAGCAGGGGACACCACAGCAGCCACCCTGCCTCATCACCAGATGGGTGGGGACATTTTTACCATGTCCTCCTTGTCAAACTCTTCCCAGCAAGTCCCAATCCCACTGTCCAGCACTGCTGAGTCCTGGCTCTGCAAGGAGAGGGGAGTTAAAGGCCTGCCTGTCTGCCCCAGTGCCCCCTGTGGGGCAGGACCCACAGGTGTGGGGATGGAGGGGAGCAGCAGGACCCCTGTCTGCTCACACATCACCTCCAGCGTGGGTTTGCTCCGCACAGCTCTCATCACTGCTGGGTCTCCCAGTTCACTGGGCTCCTCAAAGCACTCCTGATCCTCCTCCTGTTCCTCAGTGCCCAGCTCCTCTACCTCTTCCTCCAGCTGAGAGTTATCCTGCTCCATCTCTGCCTCCATCCCACCTTCCTCCTCGGCGAGCTCCTCCAGCTGCTCAGCTGCTCCTCCAGTTGCCTCTACCAGCGCGTTGGCCACCTCAGGGTTTATCTCTGGTACCACCAGGATTTTTGGAGCATCCTCCTCTGTGGAGTCTCGGTCTTAGAGGGGGGAGCAGCGCACAGCAGGGTGGGTGAACGCTTTGGCAGTGCCCACCAGGCTGTCTGCTCCCCCGAGTGCTGGCAGGTCCTCCAACACCAGGACTCCCCAGAGGTCTTACCTAACCCAAAAGTCATCTCGTTGTACAGGTCGAGCTCCTCATCCTCCTCAGCCATCTCTTCCAGCAGAACTGCATCTTCCACCAGCAGAAAATCCTCGATAATCTGGATTTGGAAGCAGCAGATTCCTCTCTAAGGTAGAGGTAACCCTAGCATACTCCTAAAGTGGGGAGCGGCACCCAACCTCCCCCTCACTCTACTGCTGGTGCCAGGCAACCCCCAGGGCTCACAGCTGGAAAAGGGAAAAGCAGGAGCAACCCCCAGGGCTCACATCTGGAAAAGGGAAAAGCAGGAGCAACCTCCAGGGCTCACAGCTGGAAAAGGGAAAAGCAGGAGCAACCTCCAGGGCTCACAGCTGGAAAAGGGAAAAGCAGGAGCCAGCGGCGCTGCCGGCG